GTCTATCCACGTTACCTTTTTAATTTCCACATAATATTTTTGAATTAAAAAAGCAAAATTTTTTTGTCGAAGTAAGGGCCACATTATTTTCCCGTTAACAGAAGGGTCATTCTGATGCAAAATTAGGAAGTTGAGAGATTAAAAAGGTGCAGGATTGAGCTAAGGGACCAAATCTGTGGAAAAGTCTAAAGTGGAGGGACCAGAGAGGTCATTTAACCAAAGAAAATCAAATTACGAAATAAATAGAACTTCGACTCCAATCCGAATAAGTACATGTTTAGATTATATATTGATTCTGTAATTTACGTTGTTTGAGAAAGATTAATCCCCAATGGCGATTAGCAGGAAACGGAAAGCCGACGAACTCCTGTCGTCCCCAGCCGCAGTAAACTGTGCGCCGCCGTCCCCAGATTTCTTCCGATCCCTTCCACCCCGGCTGCAAGAACAGGACAACCTCGACTATTTCGAAGCATTCCATGTCAAACGTCGCAATGTAATGAAATCCCCCTTTCAGGATACGGAGTGGCACCGTCTCCAGCTCGACTACCAGTTGCTCACCGACTTCGTTACCGATCCCAGATGCAGTATTTCCTTCAGCCGTCCTGTAATTCTTAAGATGCTGAGTCTCTTCGAGTCGGAGGATGAGAGGGAGAGGGTCGCATTGGCTACCCTTTTGAAGGGAATCTACGATCGATTTCCGGAACATAGAGTCTTCATCAGGAAATCAGTCTACGACATATTCTACCAATTCAATTGTTCCAGTCATTCGAAGCATAATGGGATTCCGGTGCTGCTAACTTTCTTGAAAAATATTGTCGAAGAACGCGAATCTGTGTGTCTGGAAGACGAGTTTAGGGTTTTTCTTCTCCGGTCGCTAATCCCCCTCTACAAATCGAAGTGGCTTGTTATGTTTTATCCTTATTTGAGGAACTGCATCGCGGAATTCATTGTGAAAGATCGGAAGATTGCCGATTCTATTATGCAGGGGATGTTGAGATACTGGCCGAAACAGGGGAGTTCCAGGGAGTACTTTTTCTTGGACGCGGCGGAGTGTTTTCTTGTGGAGGCGAAGTTATCCACCGACTTCAGCAGCTCCGTGGTGGGTTTGTTGGAAAAGATTGCTGGGTGTTTGAAGAGTCTGCAGTTCAATGTTGCGGAAAAGGCTCTGTCCTTACTGGATGTCAATGGAGGGCTTGGAATCCTGATAAAGAAGAATTTCAAGTTCATATTGCAGATTGTGTATTCGGGGCTGAAGGAAGTTGCTGCTAAGCATTGGCGGCCTAAAACGAAGGAGTTGGCTTTGAAAATTAGCACGGCATTGAAGGCAATTGATCCTGTGTTCTACGACAATTGCTATATTGCTTCACTGTTCTGTGAAGAGGATGAAGCAGGTATGGAATGGATGGCTTTGGCGCGGGAGGAAAGATGGACCCAATTGGAAGGGATGGCGGCTGCAAAAAAGGAATGGAGTGGATTGTCCACAAATTTCAGGCAGGAATTGTGCGGTTAGGTGTGTTCATTGGACATTAGGAGCTTTGTGAGATTAGGTGTAGAGGGAGCTTCTATTGAAGCAGCCAATGTTAGAAACTTCTAGTATGTTCTCTTGTACCTCTTTTTCTTTAAATACTGGAATTTCCACCTGATTTTGAATTCTCTACTTGAATTCTCACTTTTTCACTTTAATTTGATGGAGGACATGGTCATCCATTTACTGACAAGGTTCAAATTGTACTAATCAAACAATTTTTTAGCATAATATAATCTTATAATTAAGTTTGTATTATATTTACTTTAATCCAATTTTATATCCATTTTACCATCAGGCAGTTGTTTAAACATATCAACTGTTTCAACTCATCATATAACATGATGAGAGCATAACCTGTTTATTAAAACCAAAAGAAGAAAGTGAATAGAGTAACCTGGCATTTAATCACAATCATCATTTATCATTAATAAGTGAGACACAATTCGAGTACCAGTTGATTCTCATTTATCATATTACTTCTTTTTTTTTTGACACACATTTATCATATTACTATGATTTGACGTCTTATCTAATGAGACTTTGTTTCCATTAAATTAACTAAAAAAAACCTTGATTTAAAATCGAGGTTTGAAGATTTAAACTTTTATTGTACCAAGCAACTAACCATTCAATGTACTAAAAAAAATAATTGGATATCATAAGATTTTTAATACAGGACATCTTCATTTTTCCTTTTTCTATATTATTTAAGAGATGGTCATGTAGTTAAAAGCTTGAGTTTCTATGTTAAAAGACACTACAAGGTTTGCTATATTTGTAGGCATGTAAATGAGGTATTCGCAGGCGCCAGCACGCCCAAGGCGTTTGCAATTCTGGTGTCTAGTAGGAACATAAGGTCCGGTCCAGCTTTGAAGCGCTTGCAAATACGCCCTTTTCCTGGCGCTTTATTGAGCTCGAAAGTCTATATTTTTTCATACACTTTTAGTAAGCCTAGGTTTTCAACTTTGTGGTGCATGGTTTTATTTTATATACAGTCCCATCTTATCAATCTCTTTTTTTTTTTTTTTAATGGTATATATGTTTGGATTGAAGGGAATGAAGAGGAGTAGAGAAAAATTATATCATTTCATTCTTATCCACTTATTTGGATAAATAAATTAATTTTAAAAAAAATAAAATAAAGGACTCTTTTTTTCCTACTTCCCTCTAATTTTTTACAACTAAATAAAAGATTTTTTTTTGCTCTCTCCATTCTTCTTAACCCAAACATATTGTAAAAGTATAATTCTTAAATATTTACTTTAAACCATAAAATATATTAGGTGCTTCTCCTTCTCTACATGTTTTCCATTTCTTAAATAATTATTTTAGAATTGAAAACTTAAAATTGAAGAAGATCAAAAAGCTTAAATTTTTTTTGATTTATTTGATTTTTAACTAATTACTTAATAAACTATTAATTTAAACCACCAAACTTGATTTTGACAGACAAAAAGAAATTCATAAAATATTTTAGCTTTCTCTTGATTTTCATTTGCTGTTGTAATAAAGTATTTTAATAAAAAAATTAATAAATTGATATTCAATACAAGTTTTACGTTAGAATTTATTTGAATTAAAATGTGGCTAATATTTCAAGTCATAAATCTTGGGAGTGACATGGTGAATACTAAACAATTATGTCCTTTAAAATTATGTCTTCTAAGAAAGACTCAAACCATAAACCATAAACTTTAAAAATGAGTTTCTATATATATATATGAGTTAACATTTATTTATACACAACTCTTATTTATGTCTTTTACACAAAATTTAGTCTTTTATCTTTTTAATATGAATGGTTGAAATTTATTACAAATTTTCAATAAAAAATTAATTAATTAAAAAATAGGATAAAAGTAGATAAATCTATACTATTCATAATAAAGAAATGAATAATCAAAATTTTATATAAGTAATGTATAAGAGTTATGTATAAATAAATCATAACTCTTTTTCTATATATATAGAGAAAGGATCTGCTTACATATAAATCTTATACATTACCCATACACAAAATCCAAACTATTTATCTCTTTATTTTCAATAATTGAGATTTATTCACATTTATTAAAAATAATAATATTTTTATCTAAAAAATATGATAAATCTCAACAATTGAGATTTTATGTAAATGTGGTGTGCAAGATTTGTTTAAATGGATCTCTACTCATATATATATATATATATATATAAATATAAAGGATAATAATTGGTACACTCTCTGGTTTAATACACTACATAAATACACTTCATTTCAACCATTAAAATTTGCTTTTGAAAATTTTTCCACCATAACTTCAAATTTAAAAATAATAGTTTTTTAATGAGTGTGTTATAGGATATATTGAACTAAAGGGTGTATCAATCATTTCTCAAATATAAAAAGCTATCCAATATATATAATAGGGTATGCATTTAACTAATTTCAAAAAAAAAAAAAAAAGGAAAAAAATCTCTCACTTGCGGTGATTGTTGATGATTGCAAAAGAAATATTCAGAAGAATGTAACGCCAATGCACACTAAATGCAAATAATGAAGCCCCTTTTTTCTGTGCTTATTTATATTACAGTTTGTAGTACGTTTTTGAATATCATTACAATTAATTAGCATGCTAATCCCAAAGATAAGAAAACCATTACAACTGACCCAAAATTAATTTAATTGTTATTCGTAACTCTTCCATTCATACAGACAAGCTTTTTCTTTATTATCATTATTATTATTGGCAAATAAAATATAATATCATATTTAATTTAACAGTCTTTGTTTTCTCATAATGCAAGGGTTCTCTCTTTATTGTTTGCCTAATTAATTAGTTGTTCTCTTCATCTATATAATATTATACATATATATTATATTTAGTTTGTTTAGTTTTTTATGTTATTATCTTTTTATATAAATGCATTATTTAGACGACCTTGTCTCTTCATCTACTTGGTGAAATTAATTAGCATAGTGTAGAAACAAAACAACAATGAAAAAAAGATAGGAAATAAGATATAAAAAATGATAAGAAATAAAATATTATATTATATTTTAAATAAATGTATATCTTATTTAATGCATAGGGTAACATTATATATATACACACCATTAACTCAACCAACACATTTTTTTAAAACAATTTCTTCATAAAAATTACTATAAAAATAATAAAATAATGTAAAAAGAAACAAATCATTAGCAAAAAGAGGGCTTTTAAAAGTCCTTTTCCATAATAGTTTATGGAATAATGCTAGTAAAACTAGTTTAAAAAAGTGTTTTATAGGATGAACTTTATATTAAAAATGTAGTAAACTTTATGAATTTATTAAAATTTTCTTAATAAAATTATTTTTTATTTTGTTTTATTAATGATATTTTAATAAATTTATAAGATGAACATCATTTTTAATATACAATTTGGATTATAATAAATGAATCCTGAACTAGTTTTTTCACAATAATTTATGGAATAAGGCTAGTGAAATTTAATTTTAAAATTAATCAAATCACTAGTGCTAATAAATTAATATTTATCAAGAATTTAAATTAAACTACTATTTACGCTCATTTTTTGCAAATCAATTAAAAGATGTCACGTGTCTCATTTAATCTTGTTTCTTTGATACAATTTCACTTGTAGCCCTTGAAATTTTTGAGCACTTAGTTGCTGCCACATGTTATTCACGTTGACAAATCTTATTTGTTGATTAAATCATTTAACTAATGCTTTAAGTGCAAAATTTGAGCATAATTGGAAGTGAATCAAGGGATTGTAACATACTACGTTTTTAAAGAATCAAAACATGTATATGTGGTGCCGCCAGAGCAGCTGCCATGTGGCGACCTCAGCAATGCGTTTGCTTTTGGGTTTTAGTGCTATTCCTGTACTATTGTAAGCCAATACGTATATATTTTTCTTTTGTACGACTAATGACAAGTTATAAAACAGTAAGGGTATTGTCCTTCCCTTCCCGAGCTTCTCTCTACAAAATGAAGATTCAAAATTTTAATTGGTGAGACATTGTTGATAAAATATATTATTAAATGTATAAATTTTAACTTGTTTTCTTAAAATTTTGGAGGATATGTTAATTGCAATTTACAATAAAAAAAAAAATTTTCCTTTAGTGGTAAACAAGAGAAAAATGCATACCTAGCTAGAACAAATTAATAGTTATTTTTCAAATTTTTTATATTAGAAAGTAGTTCAATGATATTTTTTTTAATAAAAATAAGTGATTTTAAATTTAAGTTGTGTGATATGTCGGTAGAGTAAATTAAAAACTAAAAAAAAGTTATTTTCTTTTAGGTAGTCAAACATTTGAAAAAGGAAAGAAAGAAAACAACCTAAGCTATCAAGGACGTAATCCTTAGGACACTACAATATCCCCAAGGATCATGCTTATACTTTCCGGAGGTACGTTAAAATAACTCGTGCCCAATGGCATGTTATGGCTCAGAGATGCCATGTAATTAGTATGGCAAACAACACGAGTTATAAGTATACAGCAACTGGTGGATGTCTACGAACAAGGTCAACGCAGGTCCATCCACAGCTTTCAGTGCTGTGATATTATTCTTGCTTCTTTATATAATAATAGAGGCAGGATAGAACTTTGCATTTCTATCGGACGCTGATTGGCTTACCCTCCTTTATCTCATACTTTGCTACACACACTCTTCTCCGTTACTCTTCGTTACTTTATGTTAAGCACCCAACCCAGCCCTTTGTTTCTCTCTCTCCTCTCTTTTCTCTTTTTTACTGTTCACCATCCTCCTTGCTAATCAAAGCCATCAGAATTCTTTTGAATGATGAACTGGAAACATATAAAGAAATTATGAAAATCATCAACCTTTTGAACTCAGAAAACATCTCTCCTCTTCACTTAGCATTGATTCTTTGATTTTCAACCTTCTTCCTTCTTTTCCCTCCTTCTCCTTTCCTCTTCTTCTTCTTTCCCTCTCCTCCCTTCTTCTTCTTTCTCTTCCCCCCTCCTTAATCTGTTGTAGGTGAACCCAGATCTAGGTTCTTCAGGAGAACCCAGGTTTGGGTTCTCCAAAACCCAGATCAGGTTGGGTTCTTCAGGATAGCCCAGATAAAGGGAGACAAAAAAAGAGGAAGAAGGAAAAAGGAAGAAGATAATGAATTTTTATAAATTTTTGTTAGAATTTTTACAAATTTAATGCTTCTCTCTCCATTGTTTCAATTGATGATTGCTCTGTCTCTGCTCTTGCTCTTGCACAATCTTCTTCCTCAGATATCTTGCTGTCCAGCAACCCACGAGAAATGGGAAAGCATCATGGCAGTGATGGACCATTTGAGAAAACAGTGGAATGATCGGAGACGTCTGAGAATCGGTTGGAACTCCAAAGGTAGGAAAGGAGAAAGAAAAAGAAAGGGCTGGGTGTGTTTGGGTGTTAACGACAAAGTAACAAAGAGTGGGTGTGTGTAATGGAGGGTATGACGGAGGAGGACAAACGTAACATTATCCATTTCTATCCCTTTAGGCTATCCATTCAACATGTGATTGTTGGCACCGAAGAAAGTTCATGGGCATGCAGAATTTGGTGATATTCATTTAGAATTATTAGAAGATCAACCTACAGGTTTTGTAAGAATTGTGAAACAGCATAATGGCTGAAAATTCAACCTCCAGGTTTCGGTCCTCAACTTTACACAGTGCATTCTTTTTGTCGTTTCCTCAGTTAAGTAACAATGTGGTCGTTAAATCATTTAAAAATTTATTTTTCTTTAATTTTTTATGATATGTATATTATAAATGAGTCCCTTAACTTAATTGGATAAAATATGTAGTGTTCATGTTGACAATTTTAGCTTACAAGAATAAAATAATAAATTTAAAATTTAAAATCTATCCACCAATTAAAATTCTTTATAATTAAAATATTAAAACTTACAAAAGATAAAATAATCTTAAAATTTATAATATTATATGATATTATAATTAAATTATGGTCACTAATAAATTGTTTAAGTTTAAATTAGATGGGTGCCACGCAACAGTTTTTTTTTTTATATGCCTATGCCATATTGTTTCAATAAGTACGGTGTTATATGGACAATTTTTTTATATCATTTTTTGATACAACTTTTACATATTATTAAATGAGTAGATACATTCAATATTATGAGTTTCACATAAATAAAAAAACCAATAATTTAAATGACATGTCAAATTGTACTAAAATATGGTATAAAAAAGTTGTTTCAAAATCATTTTTCTATCAATAATTAAAAAAAGCTTTTAAAAAAATTGGCATGCTACCTTTTTAATTTCCACGTAGTATTTTAAAAATAAAAAAGCAAAATTTTTTGATAGAAGTAAGGCCCACGTCATTTTACCGTTAACAGAAGGATTATTCTGGTGCAGAATTAAGGAGTTGAGGACTAAACAAGTGCATAATTGAGTTGAGGTATAAATCAATTGGACCAAAGTGGGAATTTAACCAATGAAAATCAAATTACGAAATAAATAGAACTTCGACTTTAGCAGTGCCGTGGTGGGTTTGTTGGAAAAGATTGCTGGGTGCTTTAAGAGTCTGCAGTTCAATGTCGCGGAAAAGGCTCTGTCCTTACTGGATGTCAATGGAGGTCTTGGAATCCTGATAAAGGAGAATTTCAAGTTCGTATTGCAGATTGTGTACCCGGGGCTGAAGGAAGTTACCGCTAAGCATTGGCGGCCGAGAACCAGGGAATTGGCAGTGGAAATTAGCACGGTATTGAAGGCAATTGATCCTGTGTTCTATGACGATTGCTATATTGCTTCCCTGTTTTGTGAAGAGGATGAAGCAGGTATGGAATGGATGGCTTTGGCGCGGCAGGAAAGATGGACCCAATTGGAAGGGATGGCGGCTGCAAGAAAGGATTGGAGTGGATTGTCGACAAATTTCAGTCAGGAATAGTATAGTTAGGTGTGTTCATTGGACATTAGGAGCTTTGTGAGATTAGGTGTAGTCGTGTAGAGGGAGCTTCTACTGAAGCAGCAAACGTTAGAAACTTTTAATATATTTGCTTGTATCTATTTTTCTTTAAATACTGAAATTTCTACCTGATTTTGAATTCTCTACTTGAGCTCTCTCTTTTGTACTTGAATTTGATGCAGGACATGATCATCCATTAACTGAAAAGGTTCAAATTTTAGTAATCAAACAATTTTTTGACATAATATAATCTTATAATTAAGTTTGTGTTATATTTGCTTTAATCCAATTTTATAATCCATTTTACCATCTGGCAATTGCTTAAACATATCAACCGTTTCAACAAATCATATAATATGATGAGTGCATAACCAGTTTATTATAATCAAAAGAAAAATTTGCATAATGTATTTTAAGGTTGTCCTAATGTCTACTGACAATCGTTTATAAGTGACACATAAGTTGGGGTTCACTTGATTATCATTTATCATTTACAAGTGAGACACAATTTGGATACCAATTGATTCTCATTCGTCGTGTTACTATGATTAAATGTCCTAACCAATAAGAGTTTGTAGCCATTAACTAAAAAAATGTTAATTTAGGGTTCAAACTTTTATTATACTAAGTAGTTAACCATTCAATGTATTTAAAAAATGATTAAACATCTTAAGATTTTTAAAGCAAGACATCTTGAATTTTTCTTTTCATGTTATTAATTTAACAGATGGCTATGTAGTTAAAAGCATTAGTTTCTATGTTAAAAACACTACAAGGTACCAATGACTTGCTGACTTAAATGGAATGAGCTTGATTTTTTTTGACAAGGTTTTAAGTTCATGTTTTGTGAGCAAGGAAACGAAGTTTGGAGAGTTTTTTTTTAATAAGGTCTGACTTACCTCAACTTCAGATAAGACACTACAAGGTTCACTATATTTGTGGACATGTAAATGAGGTTTTCGCACGCACTAGCACCCCCAACGCGTTTGCAATTCTGGTGTCTACAACATAAGGTCCAGTCCAGCTTTGAAGCGCTTGCAAATATGCCCTTTTCCAGGTGCTTTATTGAGCTCTAAATTAAAACCTATATCTTTTCGTACACTTTTAGTATGCCTAGATTTTCAACTTTATGGTGCATGGTTTTTATATACAATCTCATCTTATCGGTCTTTCATTTTTCATTAATGGTATATTTAAACCGAGAGAAATAGAGAGGATGG